AGGTAGGTGTTTGCACTAAATTGAAAAGTGTTCTGTCTGATTCAACAGTGATAGGGACACTTGTTTGTTTCTTCGTCACACAAACTTGTCACTGTCGTCTTCTTATATTTCAACGAACGTGGAGCGAAGAAGAGACATAGACAGAAATGGATCGACTTTTGTCTCTGATTACCATTTTTCTGCTTCTCACTCGCAGCGATGGTTACAACAGGAAAGATTTCCCTAAAGACTTCGCTTTCGGATCCGCCATTTCTGCTTATCAGGTTTCGGATTTTTTATTTTGACTCTTTTTTTGTTTTTGTTGGGAATCTGAAAATGTATGTTTGGTCTCTGTGACGAAAGTGGGAAGGAGCTGCTAATGAAGATGGGAGAAAGCCCAGCATTTGGGATACTTTCGTCCACTCTGGTACCATTCTATTTTTTCCTTGATCTTTATTCATCTTCTTTCTCTTAAAGGGACATTTTTTTTTCTTTTTCTTTCTATATTTGGTATTTTGGTGTTTGAATCTTGAACCAAACAATTTGGACTCTAGTTCATTCTTAAAATTGATTTTGGTAGGTAACCAAGACAACGGAGACATAGCATGTGATGGATATCACAAATACAAGGTTCATTAATTCTCACCAAACCCAAATGTTTTTGCTAATCTTGCTTGTGAAATGAAAAAGATCTTGCTTTGGTCTCTCTATGCAGGAAGATGTGCAGCTCGTGGTGGAAACTGGCTTAAATGCCTTTAGATTCTCCATCTCTTGGTCCAGGCTTATACCTAGTATGTCTTCTTCTTCTTTAAACACACTCACTCTTTTGTATGTATATGTATGAATCAAGTTTCTAAGTAGTATTCATTATGGTTATCTCATTTAGATGGAAGAGGTCCTGTTAACCCAAAGGGTCTACAGTTCTACAAGAACTTCATCCATGAACTTGTAACCCATGGTAACCACTTGCACTTGGAAAAATCAATTCTTTCTGCTATGTTCTGTTTTAGCTCCTACTAACTCGGCTTTAAGACAGGAATCGATCCACATGTTACACTTTTCCACTACGACCTTCCTCAGTCTCTCGAGGATGAGTACGGAGGATGGATCAGCCGCAGAACCATGTATATAGGCTAACAATAAGCGGCATTTACTTTGATGATTCTTTTCCATATAAATCAAGAGAAAAAACTTTGGCATTGCAGTGAGGACTTTACTGCCTACGCAGACGTTTGCTTCAGAGAGTTTGGGAACCACGTCAAATTCTGGACCACGATCAACGAGGCTAATGTATTCACTATTGGAGGTTACAGCGATGGGACGCAACCGCCTGGTCATTGTTCCAATAACTTGCTGCTTGCGCACGCCTCTGCTTCAAGATTATATTAGAAAAAGTACAAGGTAGACACTCTCTTGAATATTTGAGTTTGCGACCAAGGAGGAACAACATACCATACATAATGTGCAGGATACGCAAGGAGGTTCCGTAGGGTTTAGTTTGTTTGTAATAGGAACAAGCTCCAATGATGATGAAATTGCAGTTCAAAAAGTCAAAGATTTCTATACCGGCTGGTGAGTGAAACGGTTCCGAAACATCTTTCATATCCAAAGGTTTAAGGCTGAAAAGAAAATATTGTGCACTTTGAAATCCAGGATGCTTAGGCCTCTCATATTTGGAGACTATCCGGATAGTATGAAACAAACCGTTGGATCAAGACTGCCAGTTTTCACAGAGGAAGAATCACAACTAGTTAAAGGCTCAGCTGACTTTGTAGGACTCATTCACTACCTTACATCTACTGTCACAAACACCAAGCCTAAGTTTTCAGGATTCCCGGATTTCAACACAGACGTGGGCGTATCTATGACAAGTAGGAATCTTTTATATTGATAACAAAACAAACCCTTTGCTTTTCTATGCTCATATATTTGTTTTTAGCTGATCATC